CCTATCGTCTCGCCGCGGTCACATACCAGGCCTGTTCGACGTTTGCGCACACCGCGCGGACTGCACGGCCAGCCCGCAATGGGCGTTAGACACGCGATACAGGCCCGGGCCGGCTCAACTCACTCACCGCGACGGTCAGATAGGCCAGGGAGGGCGGGGTAACCGTCCAGTCCGCTGTGAGCAGTCACCGGCAAGGCCCTATATGTCACCGGGCTGCCTCGGTCCTTCTCCACGTCAGCTCTGTGATGCATTTTGTTTTATCATTCGTTTGTTTCAAATTTTAATATGCTGGAAGGCCGAAGCTGATCGCATGGGCACAGTACCTAGTTAGTGATAAATTATTTCAGCGCATCTGGATTTTGAGCCTCATTTAGCCACGTCCACGAACGGTTTTGTTCGGTGATTTTAGCCTCATTCTAACTGTTGCCTTTGCTCTGGTCTATCCATCTTCCCCGGGCAGCTCCAGCCCCTGAGGCGCTGGGCGGAGCTCTGACCCTTGGACTCACAACTGGCAGACTCGCCGCTCAAACGAATGACCCGGCCAGCCGCCAGCAGAAAAACGGCGACACGCCGGAAAAGCATCCGATGAAAGCCACTAATGATAGGCCCGACTGTTCGGCGCAGCCGCGGCAAATTATACGCTGCCCTCTCTCGTTGCTGGACAACGGGAGCGCAGCGGCGGCGGGGTTTTTGTTTTGTAGTTTTGTTTTTGTTCCGCTGGAGAAGCCTCCCGCCGGGCTGGAACTGGGCTACATCAGTCCAACAGTCCGAGCTTTTATTCTTCCCGTGGAATTGTCAGAAGCCGAAACGGCCGTCATTAGGTGCCGTAACGCTTTTTGTCTGGATGGGATCCCTGAGGGAATAAATGGATCACGTGTTACCATAAAGTTGGGCCTCATTAATTGTCTTCTTCAAAAAGTGAAACAAAGTTAAAATTTATTTCTCGTAATCGAAACGCAGAGGAAACAGAAAACTCTGGAGGTGAATTTTAGGGCTGTGTGAATTCGCAGCTCTGCTCATGTAAGATAACTACCTATACTTATTTCATCAATAGGCTTTTTGTGACGCATGATTTGTATTCAAGCAGCACCTTTCGTTTAACCAGCACCAGCGCACGGTCGGCTTTCAGTAGGCTATTTACGGCGACAATTAAACCACTCAACACAGACAGGCGTCGGGCGGGTTTTGAGGTCACCGAACGCTGAGAGGCGATTTAAATCAGAAGACGCGGCCTCTTCCGTGCTGTTTGGGAGCGGTTACCGGTACAATTTCTGTCAGTGTGTCTGAGCGACGACCTGCCGGCCGGCGGCGCTGCCCACCACGGCCCCGGCCGCACACAATGAGAGCATGCTTTACGAGAGGGCGGCTCTGCTATTCAGGTAATGTGGGATCCGTTGGCGGCGCTACACGCAACTGGCGTGCCCACATGACCCAGACTGCCCCGCAGCGGCGCTGGCTGGGAACGCGGCCCCGGCGCCGCCGCCGAGCCGCCGTTACCGGTAATTTTATCACGGCTCTTACACCAAACTCACTGTGGACCGTAATATAGATTGTGTATTTTACGGGGTCTAAATAGCAGAGTAGTGCTCTAAATTGGGATTTAACGGCGTTAACGAGTTATTATGGCGGATAGCAGCTCAGGATTTATTCGTTTAATCTAAAATCAAATACCTACCTACCCATTTTGATGATTTTGAAGCAACATATTCCCGGTGGATCCATGCAAACATCCAATGTGCAGCGGCTGATATCCCATTCGATATCTGTTCTGAATTTCGGCAGTCTCTCTGTGTGCCCATTGAGGACGGTGCCGGGGTGCCCAGGTGTCTGTCCCGTGTGCCATCCCTCGGTCGGAGCATCTGTCTGCCGCCGCCAGCCACCCGTTAATGTCGTATTGTGTCCAATCGCGGGCAGGTGGCGGCGCCTCCCTCCTCCCTCCTGGCCGGAGGCACCAGCAGAGACTTCGTCCACCGCTCCGCCGCCGCCGCGTGCCACTCGCGCACAATGGCAAACGCCATTATGGCTCTAACGTGCCCCTCAATAGGAGTTCATTTCGCCAGTCACGCAGCAGAAAGCCATTCTGACCGATCTGTATCAAACCGATGTCCGGAGTCCGTTTAGAGCCAACAGCGCGTGACAGCGGCCCGAGCCGGCCATCTGCAAGGAGGCTCGGCAGCGCCGGTTCTTTCGAGTCACCGACACACATCACGCACTGTTCCTAACGACCGATACGCAGCTGTGATAGCTGATTTCAATGTCAGATTGCTGTCACGGCGGGGAGAAGTGGAGGTGTTTTTACACCTCCCCTGCCATCGGAGGTGGCGCCGGCTGCACCCAGTCCGGCAGAAAGGGCCGCTAAGCAGATCGATCAAACCGCTCGCTCCCCTGCCGGGCGGTCACGTGACGTTTGGGCTCAGATATGCATACAGGGGAGTCGGGGACTGAACGGTGATGGCCTACCTTCCTGCACGCACCACTCTGAGTCAACCTATCAGGGGATACGAGTAGGTATGGGGCTTCCGATCAGCTGCCGTTCCAGTCTGTGTCATGCAGGTTGAGTTGCACGTGTTACTGCATATAGATGCACTCGACCGTCCAGCTGATCAATCGAGTACGGCGAGATCGAAAAGAGCGAGGATTTTGAAAATTATGTAATTAAATCATGATGCCGGAACCTATCTGAAACACTGGATGTGAACTAGCGCCAGGATCTCGATAAACCTCCCCGCTCAGCGGTCTCCCTGTTCCTCCTCACCCTATAATACAGAAGAGACAGATCGGCTGGTATTATACCCGTCCTGCTGCATCGATTGACAGTTCCCGTTCACTGGGAGCCGACCAGCCTCTGATCCTCCGGTCCTGGCAGACGGGCAGTCTCCGTCGGCAGCTGAACACACATCGGCTCTTCCACACGGGCCGACCGCGCGGCCCAGGCCGGCCTCTGATCCCACAGCCGACCACCGGGCCAGGCCACCGCGCCCGTCGGCCCATTGTGACGCCTTTGTGCCGAATAATGGCGCTCTGTTCCGCAGTGACAATGCCTCAGACAGGCACGGCACGCTGCAAACACTTCTCGTCAATGTCAATAATAGACATCAGCTAAATAGCTGCAAAACAGCTCTCCGGGGTGCGTACGCCGCTCGGCGGCTGATGGAGGGTGCAAATTGACGCCTCCGCCGGGAGGGGGTCGGGCGGCGGTCCGTCCGCGGGCCGTCCGCTCTGGGTGGCTACCAGTCTTGGTGCGCCGCCGGGCGGTGTCCAATCGGCCAGTCACGTGCCTGGGGCGTGTCCCGTCATTGCTGACTGTCCGGAGCGCCCCGCCCGGACCGGCGGCCACGTGCAGAACTCGTACCGCGGACCGCCGGCCCTGCACGTGCAGTTAGGGGTCCACCCTGTGCCAATCGGCCTGTCGACCGGCCGCCCCGCGCCGCGACCACAATGAGTTGGGTCGGTGGCACATGTCCTGTATTGTGTGCCCGCGCTGCGTGACGACCGTCCCCCTCCCTCCCCGACTGGGGGTGCTTAGAGGGAGGGAGCGCACCGTTCGCCGCACCTGCCGTCAGGCAGAGCTTCATAGTGTTATATCACTGCAGCGGTGGCTGCACGAATGAAGAACATCCACACATTGTAAGTGCTGCACACATTCGGGGCAACAGGATTTCCGGAACAGAACGTAAGCTGCTGCTACGCGACTTATTGTAGGGAAATCGTTTTCCAGAAGGCGTTATTTCGAGTTTTTACCAAATTCGTGTGAATACTTATAGCTATGGGAGCACAAAAAACGACTTCAGAAGGATTTAATTTAGCAGCCATTATCAAGTCAATTGCTAGTCCACCTTTGACTGACTTCTGGTGAATGAAGTCCTTTTTCGAGGCCCGATGCTAATAAAACGTCAGATCAATATCGTTCCAGCGCATTTACCGTTTATACTTACGCCACTAAGAAAACCAAACTGACCTTTATTTAGGTACTAAGATAAATCAAAAGCATATATTCCGAACTTCTTGGCCTCATAACATTACAATTATGCAAACCCATGGAATTCTGCAGTTTTTCAAATCCCCGCCTCAGAGTCCGAAAGTCTCAGAATCACGGATGTCCAGACCCCAGACAGGGCCGCCGCGACCCTTGGCCGTCACGGCTGGGGGTGCCGAGTAACGAGCCGTCACGGCTGCACCTGTGCACGTGCAGGAGCGTCACGGTGCTGACCTCAGGGTCGTCACGGTCCCGGACCCGTCTCCGGCACCGGTCCGGGGTCCGGGGTCCGGGTCCGTGCGGCCGGCATCCAGCAGGGTCTGAACTTCCCTTGTCGATGTCTGATGTCCGGGCTATCCATGTCATACGTGAGCGACCTACCGGAACTATAATCTGCCTTCCGCTGTGTGACGATACAGAAGGGTGGTCGATCGCCCCTGCACGCTACCGCGGATAGGTCATCAAACCCTGTCGTGTCACTCGTGCGGCGCACCCTATCGGTAGAGAAGGAGGGTGAACGCCCATCAAAGCCGACCGAAACGCTGCGCCGGAGAAACAGGTCACCACGGCGGCACGCTCCGGCTGGGGAGGACAGGAGGGCCGGCCTGACCCGCAGCCCCGCACATTATCGGCCCTCAATGGCGCTGGGAACGGCGGCGGAGGGTTTGCGAAACCGCGGCGCTCTATACAGGAGGTGCTGCCGTCGGCAGTGGGCGCTGGCCGGGGCCGGTATGCGCGCGGGGCCCGCCAGCCGTCCGTCAGGGCTCGGCCTGAGAACGTTCCCGCCGGGTCAGCCGCTTTAATTGAAGCCGGTCGGCACTCTCCTTCGCACACCCAGCGGTCGTTGCCGCGGATCGTTCACATAATAAGCGCGGTGCTGATAAGGGCGGGGTAATTGTGCGACAGTGGCTAGCCGAGCTGCCGAGGCTGACCGCGCTGCCCTCTCAGAGACCGCTGGACGGGGCCTTCCGCTTTACCTCTCCACGCCCACTGGCCTGCGCTGACCGCTCCGTCCCCTTTTCAGACGCTGCTGACTGGCGCCTCGGACTACCTCTACACGGCCACCCAGCGTCGCGCCTACTTTGGCGATGTGACGGTGGTGGTGCCGAGCTCGTGGCCGCGCAGCTGCACGGGCTCGGCGGCGCCGGAGCCGGCCACCACTGAGAGCCTGGTGAGCGCCGACCTGCGCGTCAGCGGGCTGCGACACCCGGTGCACGGCGCCGCGCCCTGGACCCACCAGAGCGGCCTCTGCGGCCGGCCCGGGCACTTCATCCAGTTCGCCGCCGACTATGTGGCCTCCGGCGAGACACACCGCTTCGGAGACCAAGGTACGTTCCGCCGCACCCGGTAGGGTCATAGGGACAGATTGGGGTAAATTTGCTGATCAGAAATGAATTGGCCTTTTGACTATCACAATTCATGTGATCACAGAACCTATTTCAGGAATACTATCACAGTAATTTGATGTGCTACCTACTTATCCTGCTCACACTAAAAAAAAAATCATAGCCAAGGGACCACAGTGTCCGCCCCAGAAGTACACATTTGGGGTGGTTCGTCAGGGGTCTGCCCGCTGCTGATTCACCGTCACGCTATGGTCGTTGCTGGTGAAAAAGGGTCAATCACTGTATCGGCCCACCGCCCACCCTCCTCGACCTTGTCCAGACAACCATCAGAGTTTTTACCGGGCGTTTGGCCCGCGCCGGAAACGAGAACGACCCTGGTTTGGGTTTTATAGGGCGGTGACAGCTCGGCATTGAAGCGCCCCGAGTCCACCTGTCACCTGACAGCTGACAGCTGACAGCAGCACGTGACAGCCGCTGTGACTCTGACCTTTACCGCGCACCTGTGGAGTCAGTTGGGCTTAAGTCGGCCTCGAAACGAGCAGGTGACAATCACCGCGGTCTATTGAATGCCGAATAATAATTATTGGACCGTATCAAATCGCAGATCTTGCCTCATTGGCGTTTTCCCCTTTCGCCCGAGAAGACAAAGTGGATCTCATATCATTGCAGTGCTATTTGCTCTGGGATGAGACCCGGTACGGGCTCTGTCACATACCAGACCATGTTGTGACGGCTGGCCCCGCCGTCCCCGCCGCTAGGACACACGCGAGGCGGTTCGTCGGACACGAGTTGGGACGGCCGGGACTGTGGCTGAACCGCCGCCCTCGGTCCGGCGCCCGGCCGTACAATGTCGGCTGTCGGTGTGGGCGCCACGTGTCGCCCTCAATGGCAGACGGGCCGCGGCGGCGGCTGCGGCGGCGGCGCGATTCGGTCCGGCCTGACAGCGGACTGCGCGCCGGTCGGCCTGTCCTGTGTGTGGTCAACAGAGCGCCGCCGTCCGGGCCCCGAGACGCCGTCATCTATCACGGATCGGCGCGCCGGGCGACTGCGGCGCGCCGCGCGCGTATTCAGAAGACCGTGGGACGGGCGCGCGCTCAAACAGAGCCCGCGTGCTGCGGATGGCTCGCCGCGGTGCAGCCGTGTCGTGGTATGCGCGAGCCGCCAGCCTCTGTGGGACCGGGGACGCGGCCGGCGGGGTGCCCGGTTCGGGAGGAAGTGAACGTACGAGTACATCGTACTTACAGTTCAGCTAGGACGGGATCAGCCTGACAGACTGGTGTTATCCGGCTCATCTACTAGATCGGCGCGGAGTGTCGCGTGCCAATCCTGTCTTTCCTGTTCGGCCACTTTTGAGCTGGTTGTAAAGACGTAGTTAGAAGGTATTTTATTGCGGAAGCTGTTGATGAAAGTGCAGCTTACAATAAGACAGTTTTAGACAGTTTTGAAAGCTGCCTGTAGAATTATTTTTCAGTCCCATTGTTCAACTTGCCCTGCTCTAAACAATCACCTCTCTCCCCTCCAGTTCGTCTTTCTGTTTGAAATATGTGACGCCGTTTCTGCAGTCAAACTAGGAGCGCCACAAATAGGCGGCGCCCGATGGCCAATTGGCAGCGTATGCACGGCGCGCAGTACCCTATGACAAACGGCGGCGGCCGCGCGCCTCCCCGGGAGGCGCCGGACCGAACGGGCGGGGGCTCGACGGCGCGTGGCGGCGCACCCCAATGAGCGGCGCAGGGCGTGCGCCACTTCTGCCGCGGCTGTCAATAGACGAGGAACACCTGTCCCACTGCGATGTGTGGCCTTGCTTTTCTCTGTGAAATACGCGCAGCTGCTGCTAGTCGCGAGTGACGTTGATGAAACACGACCTCGCCGTCTGCGGCTGTTTCTCACACAAGCTATTCAGTAAATTTACCACGCCTTATTTGGTGGCTTAAAATGATTGAATTATCTCACCTATTTCTCAAAGCTAAGTGCAACTAACCTGGGAATGCCCCCGGGGACATACCACTATTGGAAGGCTCTCTCTGACGCGAAGCTGTGCCTGTATTGAAGTCATCGGTCGAACTGACGCGCGCCATTTGTCTCCCGGCGGTGTCCGCAGGGCGCGTGCTGGTGCACGAGTGGGCCAAGTACCGCTGGGGTGTGTTCGAGGAGACGGGTTACGCCGGCGACCGGCTGTACCCGTCGTTCCACCGCGCCTCGGCCGAGCGGTGGACGCCCACCGGCTGCTCGAACCGTCCCGTCAGTGGAGTCGTCACACCGTGAGTACAGACAGAACGTGACGCCGGTGGTGTGTTACTGATGTGACCCAGACAAACACACATTATGTGCCACTAACCACTATAGCGATCTCTTTACTGTCACACTGATGTATCACTAGCGTCGGTACTGGTGCAAGTGTCACAATCGTTACACTTACCGTCAGAAATAAGTACAACATATACACATGAGTCACTGATGTGTATCTGATGTGACCTATATTCGTGGCAGGTATAATGACGCACTGGTGTAGGTATAAATCGGGACGCCTACTGACGCACTGATATACCGCAGCCAGGACATTGCGCCGCACCTACTGATGTCAGCAACTAACGCCATGATACACCAAAGCCAAATCGGCTTCGCCGCTCACTCATATGATCACACCTGCTCAGGAAACGGACGACCCCTAATCGGCCCACCAACTTCGCTGAATAATCTACACATGCATCGCTAATCACGCATTTATATAAAACCTACAAAAGGAGTAAAAACACAGCCAGCTTACGGCGCCGGATATCCAGCTTTGTTTGTTTTTAAACGTTACTCGGCTACCTATTCATCGGTTCAGACACTGACTTCTTCCGTTCGTGCGTCATTGCTGAATATTACTTTCATAACGCGGCTGCGGGGGCCGCTGACTCGAACGCCAGTGCCGCCATATCACAGCGTCACTGTCACCCCATCCCCGTCCCCGCTGCGTCCCTGCGTCACTCCTGTCACCCAACAGCCTCCCCCCGATACCTCCCCCGCCGCAGGATTACCGGCCTACCAATGCTCCGACCGACCGAACGCTGAATACCAGTCACGCACTGAGGCGTCTAAATGACAGTGTCACGCATTCCACGCACACACAGTGATACAGAGCGTGTTGTGGTGCCCGGTGCGGGATCAAAGTGGTACGGGCGCCCCATTGTCCGTCAGCCGATGGTCGGTCGGTCGGGACGGGAGAGGTGGCGAGGCTAAACGGTGCACTGTGGTGGGTCCGGGTCCGGTCTCTCTCTCTCTCTCTCTCTCTCTCTCTCTCTCTCTCTCTCTCTCTCTCTCTCTCTCTCTCTCTCTCTCTCTCTCTCTCTCTCTCTCTCTCTCTCTCTCTCTCTCTCTTTCTCGCTCTCTCTTTCTTCGTTCTTCCTTTTCATTAATATTAATTCCTTGTTTTCATTTTCCGCTTTTATGCATTTTCTGTATCTTATTTATTTTGCTTTTTATCCTTTTCCTGGCCATTTGATCTCGCTGTTCTTACTTTTCTACCCTCTTTCAATCTCTCTCTCTCTCTCTCTCTCTCTCTCTCTCTCTCTCTCTCTCTCTCTCTCTCTCTCTCTCTCTCTCTCTCTCTCTCTCTCTCTCTCTCTCTCTCTCTCTCTCTCTCTCTCTCTCCCTCGTTTCGCTCACCTGTCACGTCTCTGCCTCCTCTTCCCCGCTCTTCCCGTTTTGTCGGGCCGTCACCGTCAACCGATCGGGCATAAATCGGCGGTGCGCGGCTCGGCGCCAGCCAACCCGTCACACCATACACACCAGACCCGTCACAGCAGACACACTAGACCGGTCACAGCAGCCCGTCGACACACTCGGAGCCGCCGCCAAGTCAGCCGACCTGTCATGTCCGGCGCTATGATGGTTTCCATCAATTGTGCTCCCTGACAGGGCGCTAAATCAGGCGGGTGCAAAAACCCACACGGCCGACAGACTCGGTCGGTTGTCGGCGCGGTGGCTCCGGCCTCACCGCGTTAGGTATGACATGTGCATGCAAATGTCGGCACCGGCGCCGGTAAGCGGCTCTAAGTGGCTGTGTAAACGGTCTCCCGGGCGGCCGGTGACTGGGTGGGCGATCCGTCGGCAGGAGCGGCTGCCGGGAGGCCTCCAACGACTGCACCTTCGCGCCGTTCCGGAACGGCAGCAACGTCAACGTCACGTCCTCCATCATGTCGCTGCAGGCGCTGGACCAGGTAAGGCGCGCTCAGGGGCGGCGGGTCGAATCGGCGGCCTGCACGGCCCGGCCCGGCGGGGATTGTGTACGGGACAGTGGGCTCGGGCAGAGACGGACGGGCCAACAGTGGGAGGTCCAGGCGCTGCAGGTCCGCTGGTGGTCACCGGTGCTCGAGTCGAATGCCAATAACATTCGCTCCCCCGTGCAACACTCAGGCGTCACTGGAAACACGCCTCCATCCGCGTCTGTAAAGTAGCCGTGAAAGTGGATGTGCTTGCATTACCAATAACTTTTGGGCTTGTCCAATTTACCATGACCAAATATAAAGCTTACTCGTTTTCATCTGCCTTCAATAAAAAAGGCTAATAAACCGACGCCAAACTTCACTTCACTCGGGCCCAACTCTACGGAAGCCTCTCCCATGCCACCTCACATTGTATTGCATACGCCTTCTGCAAACTGAATGCGTCAGCCGTCAAAACCTGTGCAGCAGTTCTTTTGAATAACGTCACCGCTTCTGCACGTCGCTGTGTGTAACTTATCTTTTAGCGCTCCGAGACATCGGAAATGAAAAATCGTGAGCCGCTCACTGCGCAGCTATCTGGGCGGCTACCATTGTCCTTCGTTTATCACTGCAAGATTTGCACCAAAGTGCAAGCAGCAGCCGCGCAGGGACACCATTTTTCATATAATCCCTGCTCTCCTGACGGGTGCCTGCGCGGCTGACAGCGGCGACATCGCCTGACCCTGAACCCGGTGTTCCCAGGTGCGGCACTTCTGTAACGCCACTACCCACGACCGCACCGCGCCGACCAAACACAACCTGCTCTGCGGCGAGCGCTCCGTCTGGGAGGTGATGGAGACCCACGAGGACTTCCTCCTCCGCAACAACCCGCCCAACGCCTCGCTGGCGCCGCCGCCGCCCGCCTTCCGCGTGGTGAAGGCCTCCGCGGACCGTCTGTTCCTCCTGCTGGAGAGCTCGGCCACCATGCGCCACCAGGAGCGCTGGGACTTTGTCAGCAACTCGCTGCGCAAGTTCGTCAACTGGGACGTGCCGACCGGCGTACAGGTGGGCATCGGCCACTTCGGCGTGATCTACCGGACCGACCGCAACCTGACGGCGGTTCCCGACTCGCGCGTGGGTCGCGGCGAGCTGGCCAACCTGCCGCCCATCGCTGACGACGTCACAGAGGACAAGAAGAGCTGGCGCGCGGCGGTGGACGGCGCGCTGGCTGCGCTCGGCGACCGCGCCGCCGGTACCACACTGGTCTGGGTGACCGGCAACCAGCCCAACAGCCGCAGCCAGCCCACCTACGGAGACGTCCAGTATATCATCGGAACGCTCAAGGAGAGAAAGGTAAGCACCGCTATTGGTTACGGTCAGGGAAGCTCCAACTCGAATAGAGGACGGATAATCAATGTGCACCTAAAGCATCCATGCATGACACGAATGGTTATTGCGGCCGTGCTACCGTTCCTGATACATACTGATGATTGAGTTAGCATCTGTTGCAAACACATTCCCTCACTTTGTTTTCAACCGACTGAAGTGTATATCACATCTTCATTCACGGGTGACGGCCGTTTCTCCGCGGCAGGTGCGACTGGTGCTGGTGTTCTACCCGTCCGCGACGCCCGGCCTGGCGCGCGCCGCCACCGAGACCGGCGGCGAGGTCATCACCGTGGACGACGTGCGCCAGGGCGACCAGACCTCCATCAGCGTGTTCCAGGCACTGGCCGACGCCTACCTGCTGGCTCTGGAGCGGTACTCCTCCGACCGCAGCCGGCTGCGGGTCCGTCTGGAGGAGCGCCAGTTCGTGGGAGACGGCCGACAGGCGCGGGGATCCTTCCTGGTCGACTCGACGCTGGGCGTCAACACCACCATGACGGTGCTGTACCACGACCGCAGCGACATCGGCTACGTGAAGCTGAAGCGGCCCGGAGGGGAGATGGAGCCCGTGTATACGTACCCCGACAGCACCAACCACCTGCAGTACGTCAAGATTGACACCGTGGTGAGTAAGGTCGCATGACGCGACAAAGGGTGTTCAGCCTTCACCATGTTGCTATCGACAATATAGCGATATTTTATCGGCTTTCACGCATTTAATTAAGTCCAGAACACACGATTGGTCAGTATTCTACTGGCGCTCCTTTGCCCCTCACGTGAGCTGACCTCGCTTCACCACCTCTCCTTGCAGCATGGTCAGTGGGAATACGAGATCGACAACCTGGCGCCGTCGCACAGCAGCGTGTTCGTCCAGGTCACCTCGTCACCGGCCTCCACGGCGGGCACGGTGCGGGCCCAAGTGTGGACGAACGCCGACCGCGCCGGTCAGGTCAACACCACCACACAGCCACTGGCCGTCTACGCATCGGTAAGTACAGGATGCTGATTGCATGAGGGTGAAGCAATTTGGCCGTGGAGGAACTGAGCGTGGTGTTGGTTGAAGGGGATGGATGGGATGGAGTGCACTTACGTTTTCAGATTGTGGCTCCCGGAAAGAGTTGGTCGTAAGATAAGATTGGTGGGAAGAATTAAATGAGTTTGGGATGTGGCTGGCTATTATCTCTGATTAGCTTAATTAATTTGTATGATAAACGTGCATTTAATGGCCTGTTGATGGTGTGCTGCGTCTCTAGTGACGACTAGTCTCCCGAGCAATTCGTTCTGCATGCAGACACTTGTAGGCACCCAAGCTGGCATTAGCTCAATTCACAGCCGAGAAAACGACAGATGGCTGAGCTTCTAAAACTCCCTGAAATACACGTCCAGCACTTTGTATCCATGTTTTCCCAGAAGTATCGTTTTAGTATCACCTCTCCCGCATTGTTTCCTGTCTCCGGCACTGAGCACTACAAGCGGGAACTGTGTCACAATAATGCCGATAATCTGTACATGACTCGCGCTCACAAAGGCTCCAACTCACACGACTTACACACCTAAATGTTCGTACAGCTTCATATCTCCGCCACTGCAGGCGACTGGCGAGAAAGCCCGCTGACCTGTAGTTTCTGCGAGCCGTGCTGATCTCCCTGGGAGTAAGGCGGCCCTTTTTTCGGCGTTAAGTCCCGACCAAGGCCGGTGGCTTGCTCGGTGGATGTGCCGCTCCGTCAAAAACGCCCACCGGCCGGCGCCGGCTATCTGCTCCGGTCAGTGGGAGCCGGCGCCGGCCGCTGACCCGCTCGGGAGGGAGGGGCCTCTCGCGCGGCGTGCAGCTGGGAGAGAGTGTGTCTGGGCTCCGACGAGCCACGTGCAACTATCGCACTGCCACCCGTCACTTTAGACACACTCGCGATCACTGAGTCGTGGGGTTGGTGCTGCTATTACTAAGATTGTTGGCGTTGTGGATATTTGTTTATCGGAGACCTGCACCAGCACGGGGCCAGTATAATGAATATTTATGAACACCGGTAGTATAGTTTGCAAGGCGCTATATTTAGAAGTTTCATGGTCCACGTTGAATTGCGAATCTTCCATGCCAAGGACCTTTGCTCTTTTTTCACGCCACAGTGCGCGACTGCAGCCGGGAGCCGTTGTGCAGAGCACGGGAGGTACGGCCCATGTTTTGATGAGTGTGAGTCGTCACGACCAGCTGACATGTGCACGACCCTGTGACACGGCTCCATGATGAAGGACCCGCTGAATGGGGAACAATGCGCCGGCGGGCCGGGTCAGGGCTGGCTCCGCGCCCGCTCCTGGGAGGACCTCCCGCTGGGTGGCTGCCTTATGGACCGTCCGTGCCAGGCTGCTATAATCGGGGATTGACGAGTGTGGCGCGATTTATCGCTGCCTGGTGTGACATGACGCCTTACACTGGCATACAACAACGTACAGCTCCATAACCGACAACTAACGAGCTTCTGCGCGCCGTAGCAGCCCCGACAGAGCAACCTGTTCATGAGCCCGGGAAATATTGCCCTGGCACGCCGCGTGGTACATTTGTGGACACCGGCGACAGTGGGTAATTCAGAGCCCTTTAGTCGTCCGTCATAAAAGCAAATAATCGTTGGCCTGTCGGTGTCATTGTTCCGAGCTGCTGACACGGTACCCTGTCTTCTCTCCAGGGTTGTTTATTATTCCGTGTTGGTGACACGTCACCCTGTCCTCTCCCGCAGGTAATGCAGGCCAGCGCTCCAGTTATGGACGCAGAGGTGTGGGCCACTCTGACCCGACCGAACGGAGAGGAGACCCGCGTCCAGCTGCTGGATAACGGCCTGGCCGGTGAGTGGTGCGCCTCCCATCCATACAGAACACCTGTGCTCGCCCCTCATATACCCCGCACCGTCAGCCATTGACGGGGCAGCTACTTTGATGGTGTGGGTGGGTTCGCGGTGATCCTCCCTGATGTGACGTATGCACGCCGCCGGGCGGGCACGGAAGCTTTGATGTGCACCTGATCATCCGACAAGAAAAAGAGGCGGCGGGATGCTTACGTCGCTTTACAAAGTACGGTCGTAGTAGGGGCGTCATGCAATGGGCAGCTCAATGTAATCCCGGTCAATGTTGCTTATCTTTCAATGTAATCCCGGTCAGGGCCGCTCCAAACAGAAACTAGGCGCACGCCCAACTCGGCTTAACTTGTCCAGCGCTCTGTCCGGTTTTACGCTGCCATGTGGTACACGGCGACGGACGCTGACCGTGTGCGCCGCCGTGGCTCTTTGTCTCGGGGTTCGATGAAATAGTGCTCTCCGATGGTCGCTGACCGTGTATATCGCCTCGTTTTCTCTGTCTCAGAGCCGGACGTGCTGCGCGGAGACGGCGTCTACTCGCGCTACGTCACCGGGCTGGGCTCGGCACCGGACGGGTCTGAGGTGCTGCTGACGCTGCGGCTGACGGTGGGCGGCGCCGGCGGCCGCGTGGTGACCGGTCGGCGGCTGCAGCCGGCGCCGCGGGCCGTCCCGGTGGACGGCTCACCGCCCTGCTGCGGCTCCTCCGTCGGCGAGGTCACCTCTGTTCCCGTGTCGGACCTGAGGCGAGAGGTGGCCGGCGGCACGGTGCGGGTCGTCCTGCCGCCGCCCGGACGGGACCTGCTGCCGCCCAGCAGGGTCACTGACCTGAGGTCACTGGTAGACCCGACCAAACAGACCATCACCTTCAACTGGACCGCACCCGGAGACGACCTCGACCGACCCAATACCAAAGGTAAGCAACGCTCTCTAAATCAATTTATCTAAACGTATAAATCTAATTTACGGTCATGACTTTTTGTCGAGAACCGCAGAAATGGTGCTATCATAATACATAAATCCCACCTGTGGTATACCGATTCGCTGAAGCCCTGTCTCTGTTTCAGTGGAGCGTTACGAGGTGCGCTACTCGGAGAGTCGTGACCAGCTGAGAGACCACTACTCTGACTGCATGGGCGTGCCGACGTGGAGCGAGCCGGAGCCGGCCGGTGCCGCCAGCTCGGCCACCGTCGGCGTCCGCACCTTCGACACGCTGCTCTTCTTCGGCATCCGCGGAGTGGACGCGGCCGGGAACGCGGCCCCGGTGTCGAACCTGGTGGCCGTGGTGGTGCCGGCGCCGCCGCCCACGCCGTCGCCGCCGCCGCCGACCGGCACTACGTCTCCCGTGCAGCCCACGGCGCCGCCGTTCGATAACCGGCTGCTGCTGATCGTGCTGCTCTGTGTGGCCGGGGTGATTGTCCTCTGCGTGCTGCTCGTCATGTACTACTTCCTGCTGTACAAGCGGAGGAAACCAGCGCCTGACGAGGGTCTCCAGGGCTACGTCAACACGGTGGCGATGACTACCGAGCTCAGCCGAGAGTCGACGCCCGTCAAGGTGCCGTTCGACCACGAACGGGAGGGCTTCTCCACTCCGACGGCACAGGAGATCTCCTCCCAGCGCTGGGCGGCTCCGGATATCCTCCAGTCGCCGAGGGGAGCGCCGGTCCCGGCCGCCGGCGGGCCGGGGCTGGGGCTCGGCCGGGCCGGCCGGGCGCGCTACAACAGCTACCAAACGCCCTACGTGGAGGATATGGCGTACGACGGCCGCTCGCTGGGCAGCACGCCGCCCGGCGGCTCAGTGGCCTCGCTGGCATCTGCCGGCAGGCCGCGGCCCGACATGACCGACTCGCCGTGGGGCCGCGGCGCCGACGGCCGCGCGAGACTCGCCACCTCGGGAGAGTCGTGGGGCCGGCCCGGAGAGCTCGCCGGCAGGCTCGACTCGCCCGGAGAGCCGTGGACGCGCGGCGGCGCCTCGCCCGGCTCGCTGGGCTCCCAGTCGAGTCGTGCGGACATGAGCTGCGGGGATTTGGGCCTGCCCAGTCCGGCGAGGCCCGGCGACCGACGCCGACGCAATGTCACCCAGGTATAGCCCGTCTGAGCCTCTGCGTGTGAAAGTGCGCTGGACTCTAGCAGGCCGACAAATGGCCAATGTTTTATCTGCGGTGGGACGGTAGCGCAGTGTTTTGCTGTGCAGCCGCTCAGCTCGTGAGAATTAAGCCGTCCGTGCAGACCTGGCGCAGCTCTGCGGTCCGCCCTCGAGTGGTAGCTCTGTGATCGCCGCGATCGGGCCGCCGCGCCGCTCACGCCCGGCCCATGCGTGGCCGCGTCACGCTATGTCTGTGTCTTCCGAAAACGCCGCGCACTTCGGCGCCACACCGGCGTGTTGCTGCGTATCTGATGTCGGTCCCACGGGCGCGGCCGCACTGAACACTATCGGTGGAATCAGGCCGCCGGACCGCCTGGTAGCGGGGCCCTCACAAACCGGGTCCATGGACCGGACACTGGCATAGTGTACTGATCACTGACACGACAGACTTTGTATGGTAGTGCTTTGTACAGAATACTGCTGCAAGTGCCTTATATGGCCGGGAGGTTACTGTAGTATTTTGTAGCATTAGTGTGTACGCAAGCGACGAGAACTATTTGAGACCTGTATTGTTCGTGATCTCTGTTTGGATTCGTTGCAAAGTTTGTTTTGTGTAGCTTTTGAGAATGGGTGCGTTCGCCTTATTTTAGTGCCCATGTGTGTCCCTGTTGAGTCGGCTATCACCGGCTGCTTCATACAATTTCTAGTCACAAGCATGTACAGAACGAAATATACGACAAAAATGACCAATACCTTTTTTCAAATGGCCACCAAGGGATAATTTACATGTTTTATTTAGGTACTTACATGACTTTTCCTTACATGCTCTATTTCATTTCTCACTTTAGACATGCACATGTCACATGACGTTTGCATTTTATCTTTCTCCAAATAGTTTGTAGGATCTCCCTTCCATTCTCACATCATTGGTCACACCCACTCTAGGAGGAAAGTAAATAAGCTATCGGTGCGGCGTCTAAATACCGCGGCGGCGGCGTCTATACAAATACAGAGAAGGCCATTATACGCAGTTTTCTTGCTTGGCTAGACATAAGCCGAACAGTAAAGCGCAACAGGGTGAACAGGGGCAGGCTGCAGCGCATCAAACCAGCCTGCACAGCTGTATCGGACGATCGGCAGAGCCGTGACTGCCCACCAAACACTCAGCGGAGCAAATTGCACCCGGCTCAAATTGACAGCTAGTGGCAGCCTGCCAGATTGCATTGAGCGTCGGATGAGAGTTTTTGCCGGCCATAACTGTCGCTCCCGACACAAGCAGAGCTATTATTTGATTACGTTTGCGTGGCGATAACAGCCTATGAGTTAAAACGATAAGTGATGCAATGAAAGGCGAAGGACAAAGGATGAAAGAGAAAAGCTTGTACACATACGTCGTAGACGAAGGGCCAGTTTCAGATAGGTCAGATCAATCTTTATGATAGGACGCGCGAACATTTTATGAACAATTAGTTAGTTATCTTTACATAACGTGCACAATGCTCAATGCACATGCATACGAGCATTGAATAAATATTCCTGAGAATCGTAATCCAATATGAAGAAGCAGCCAGCACAGTCCTTTTCTCAGGCAACGCTACCACTTTCCCTTTTCCAGGAGGCACAGGGCGCCATTCCGATGTCTCTGCGACTCCTCCCCTTCCCACCGGAGGAGCGGCGGACCGCTCTCTCGCCACCCCGGCAGCTCTCGTCCCGGCCCTGCCCGGCGCCGCGCGCCCGCTCGGCTGTCACCTCCCGGCGCCTTCTCTATGAACGGTCACCCGTGCCGGCGCGACGCCTCTCCGCCCGTCCTTTGATCACCGCTAATTTATCGTTCCCGTCCGGGACAAATGCAATTCAAATAAAGGCGTGACCCTCATCATTGTCGGCCAGAGCAGAATTTATGGACGCCGTTTCAATTACGTCTCTATTTTCCGCTATTTACGGCCATCCATTCAGCCTTTCATTAGGTTTTTACGCAACAGCAGAGGCGGTCCCAGTCGGGACCCCCGGTGGGCCGAGTCGTTTTGAAAGTGACAATATATGGCCATGGGCTGGCAAGGACACAGACAACAGTCTCAAGAAAGTTGTCTAGAGGCGACTGCTCTCAGAAGACGTTTAACTTTGGGAATTTGCCGCTTGGCCATAGATAAAGCCACCCCATTTTTGTTAAATGAAAATAATCGTTTTTTGTGCACCTGTCTCTCATAGAGTTTTAGGACCTTTTCAACTTCATAAACAAAACTTAAGTAATAAATACTACAATGGAATTAACTCATCACCATTTCAGGAAATTATTGAAAATGACAATAACTTTTATATGCATCTTATATTCTAGTTTCGCCATCTAGACCCCGAGAAGTAAGAGCTCCCTCGGCTCCTCGAGTTTCCCTCGCTGGTGTCGCCTCTGTGCCCAGGCGCGACATCTCGCCGGACCATCAGTGGACGAATTTGGCCGCGCGCTTTACGAGGGGGCACCCCGGCGAGGGTTCCCGTAAATCGCGCCACCCGACAGCCGCGGCGGCAAACGGCCGTTCTGGCGCGTCACAGACGCACACCTGAGCCCGGAGCACGCCCCGGACGAGATGGGCGGTGATTAGGGCGAGCCCGGGTGACCGTAAGGCCCGGAGAGCACGTGTCTCCGTGTCCAATGCTCACCTGGAACGGTAGAGGACTGAGGAGGGCCCCAGTGTCACCCGTCACCCGGCCAGACAGCGACGGACCGTGGGATGAAGAGCAGCGACAAGGTGTACCTTTTACAGTTAGCGTGTCGAGGGACTCGGGCAACTGGCTGGAGCTAAAAAATTGGGACCTAAAACTACATTTATTGCAGCGAATATTGACTGTGATCTTCAGCGTTTAGCAACAACCTATGTTATGTGTTTTGAAAGTGTTGATGACTGTTATTCGACCAAGATGCAGGATTTATCGTTGCTCATCATGACATAGCGTTTATACACTCAAAAGGATTAGGCAAAAAAACGTCCAAGTGTTGTAGTTCGAGGCAAGTGCCGTATTCACAAGAACCACGACAAGACAATCTTAACAAAATAAGAAAACAAGAGAAAATGTGAAAGAGATTTTATCAAGCGTAGCTATAAGCAACCGGCAACGCAACTGGACATGTGGCATGCCATGCTACCAGTCATTAATTCGTGTAGAACATCATATAGACACCCAGATTTGGCATTGCAACATGGTTTCCGACTCGGCCTCGGTGCATTATCAGCATCGCTGAATAAAAGAACCTTCTTACCTGCAAACGACATGATCAGCAGATGTCGCCGCTGCATGACTAAAAAATGAGCCGTTTCCACCAGCCATAATACACATCATGGCTCACTCAGATTGACATCTCAGAAGGACGTGTCATAAAAACGGGCCCGCTCCCACGGCCGACTCGGGGTGGGACCGGACGGCCCGATCGTGACAGTGTCGCGACCACAGGCCGCGGCCGATGCTCATCACTCACACACACACACGGCCCCACCGGGAGGCCATGTGCGGACCGACGACTTGTGATGACCGGCCGCTGACTCAGAGCGCAGCGACCGGTATGTCGCCGGCCGGATATAACACATGGGTCTCTGTCGGACTCGGGACTGGTCAGTTCTGCGCTCAGTTTTATTATCCGGTGAATAGATGTGGTAGGTGAGTGTTCGGCGATGTGCCGAGGAAATGGACGCATGCATATTTCATGACGAATATGTGACGTTTATGCACTCCAGTCACCAACATTCTTCAGGCATTATAACGCACAAAGTAAAGCCTTCAAAGCTGCCATTGCCATTTCCTGTCGGAAAACTCAGACGACAAAGGGAACAGACTCCAGCCACTCGACTGTCCGTCTCCCACAGCACCCGCGCCGGTCCAATCGCCCTGTACTCTCCGGCACTCTCGAGTCTGTCGGCCGTTTACCTCGGCAGCTAAGAGGGTGGGGAGCTGATCTGACCATCAGCGGCACCTCTCAGAGTTCAGAGAGCGGCAATCAGACCTGACTATCTGACGGCGCCGCCGCCGGCGGCCACTGGGCCGCGCTCAGCCCCGCCGATCCGGCGCGGACCAACACCCCTGCCGACCCCGATAATCGGGCACGGGGCGGCGCGGCGCACAGACGAGCACCGAAGCGGCCGAGACAAAAACGACGCAGCAGACGGCAAAACCGCGCCGCGAGTGGCGGCGCCGCTTGTTTAGTATGGACTTCTCGTAGCAGTGCGAGAGCTCGCATTTCCGAGTCAGTACCATAGAGACCCTGGAATGCTGGATTATCGAGACATCTTGGGCTCGAATTTAATGTACGGAGATCATAAGCGCGATAGGGGATCACTAAAAGCATGTTTTGGCGGGGAAGCGGCACAATGGAGCCCACAAAGTGGCCTCGTCGCCGGCCGTCCCATAGGATCAGCGCCGGCCGAGCGTGATCGAGGCGGGCGGGCGGCCGAGGTCCCGCTGTCCCCTCCACACACACCGCACACACAGCACACAGACCTCACAGCGGGCAGTGGGCCGATACTGGGTGGCATAGACAGCACTGAGTGAGCCCCACTCAGCAAACAATGCGAAACCACTTGATGTTGTAGCACGGTGTCGAGGAAACTACTTTCTGTCTGAGGAGGGGAGGATGCTCACCTGATATTCACGGGTGTCGATCCATCATCCAAAACCCCGAACAGCGTAGCCTGTCCCCAAATCTAGTTGTACCGGTTTCAGGCCACTTATTATACTTCTCACGTCATTACTACAAAGAAACTAGGGCTAAACAAACAGCTTAACACCGTCCCAACTCCCAACAGACATAGACATTAGTTTCTTAGTCAAATTATATAGATAACAGATCCGACATTACATCATCGGGGTTACTGAAAAAGGTCTGAAGTCGTACAGGTGTTTGAGGTAAACAATTGTTTACCTCAAACACCTGTACGACTTCAGACCTTTTTAAGGAAAACACTTTTTGAGCCATACAATAATGAAATCAGCTGAAGTTGCCACCTAGAAATTTAGCAGACAGACTGTTGACCTTGAAGGAAAATAAAAGGACCCTCTGATCCATTTCACACCGAAAGCACCTCGCGCCGTGTACCGCTCTAGATGTGACACTTTCCTCCTCCCTGCGCCCAGCGAGACGGCGGCACGCCTCTCGCGCTACAAAGCAGCCATCAATCCGCGTCCGAGTGATGGACGGAGCCACTTAGCGACCGGTCTGGCGGTGTCGCCAGACCACCGGAAGGCGTCCGACCTACCCCCGAACACTGCCGGACAGCGCCGGACACACGGGGACACGCGGGGACACACGGGGACACTCGGGGACACTCGGGGACACACGTGGACGGGACAACTAGAGGGTCGGTCCACCGAAGGCCAGCGCCGACAGTTCTGCTGGGTGATGGAACGGCGAGAAAGGAACAGGAGGGAGCAGTACCCGCTCTGTCTCTATTCCCGTCGGCGGATCTGACCTCTACTGCCAGGAATAGGCAGTGTTTCCTATCGTGTTGAGCATACTCAATTGTAAAAAAATATGTAAGCCTAGCAGCACTTCCAAGTTCCAATGCATTCGAAGCACTGTGCCGATGCGATAACATTTTCCATATAAAACACATATTTTAGACAAAAGATATACAGAGTACCTACATAGTACTCAACTACTATTGTTAGGTACAATTCCACATTGAATAGTCAACCATGCTTCTATGATTCAGAATATTCCAGTTACGACGTTACTATTCCGTAGAACTCCGTCACCGTCGTT